AATCAGAATTTCATGCAGTATCTCCAGAATTTTAAATGTTGGCTACTAATTCAACATGTTTTAAAACAGAGAGGTGGTCAACGTGCCACCTCTGCTCTTCAAGGAGAGGGCATTCTGTATGAGAGGACAATCCTGTCTTCCACCTGGATGTTGTGTGTGTCATTGCCACAAACCCGTGTGAGCCTCACGTGAACCTGTGAGATGGGCAAAAGGTAAGAAGCTTGGGCGCAGACATCAGGCTCCTTCCCCCGGAGGATTCTGTTCTCCCTCCTGGGTGACTGGCCCAGGCCTGTGGCTTCTCCCTCTCCAGTCCATTCTGCATTCCTTAGCCGGAGCAATCTTTTTGAAACTCAACTCTGATTAATTCCGCTCCTTCAAACCTTCAGTCCCCATCTTGGACTCTATTTTTTTTTTTGCGTCTTTCTTCTGTGTTTCTGTCCATAGCCGCCTTCTCACTCCCTGCATCCCCTGTGAGAGTGAAATGCCATTGGCTGCTGTGCACAAGGTGGTGGCTCATACAACGTGTCTCTACTGCCCTGTCCTCTCTCCTGAGACTCACACACCTCCCGGGCAGCTCTGCTTGGTGGAGTCACAGGCTCCTTCAACTCAGTGACCTCAAAGTTGTGCACACTCTTGTGGCCCCGGAGTTGTGTGTCTCCTTCCTTGACCTCAGTGTGGGTGAAGGACATCCATCAGCCACTGCAACAGAAATCTGACTCTTCTCTTCTCCCACAACCGTCAGCACCAGATCTCCTCTTTAATCTCTCACACCAGCCTCTCCCATCCTCACTCCATGACCCAAGAGTTGCCTCCCCCTCTTCTTTCCAGACCACGACTGCCGCCTACAGCCTTGACTTCCTGCTTACAGTCCCAGAAGCCTTTGGTCCACTCTTCACAGCCAGCCCAGAGCATGATCAGAACCAACACGAGCACGACTTTCTCCTCCAGGATGGTGGGACTATCTTCATGTGTCTACAGTGTGGCTCTGGCGTGCCACACTCCAGCCATCCTGAACCCCTGAAGCTCCCAGAGTGGCCACATGGCCATGTACCTTGTCGCTGACCTTTGTACCTGCTCGTGTCTCTGTCATCAAGGCTCTCTCCCCCACACTCCAGGTTAACACCACTTACTTTGAGTCTCAGTCAGGCGGCACCTCCTCCAGGAAGCCTTTCTTGGCCCAGCCCACCATGGGCTCCCTTAAAGCCTTTACTCCACACAGCTGGTATCACATCTCCTTGCCCCAGTCCCAACTAGGCAAGGAACTACTCAAGGGCAATGCCACATCTTGGGTAATTCATCTCACTGCCCACTAGAGTAACTAGCAGTTATTGGGCACATAATAGGTGCTCAATAAATGTTTCTTGGATGATCGGATGAATACCTGGTCATTTAGTTATTGGCACAGGGCTAGAAGTCAGACCTACAGTTCTGAAACCCCTGCCCTGTCCAACTCTAAAATGAGCTCTATTTTTTAGAACATAGTGAAATCACGGAAAGAATTCTTAGGATGTGCTCGGTTTAGAAACAACCTCCCTCCAAAGTTGAGTGACACAAAACTTCTTAAAGCCCAATCAAGGTCAGCTGTGGCCTCACACAGGTATCGACTGGGCTGGGAGCCTTGTCAGGGTAAGGGGAGGAAATCGCGGCTGTGCCTGACCCTGGATTATGCGCTCTCTTTCCCGGCGAGGCCACTGTGGTTTCCGAGCTGCCCAGAGCATCTCCCCGCGACGCCCGCTAGTGGGCGCAATGCCTCCTAGGAGGCGGGCGCTGGGGAGGAAGCTGTGACCGCCCCTACCGCACCGCGTAGCCTGCAGGCATTCAAGTCCCCGGGTTTTAGAAGGGCTCCGTTCTCTGGTCAAGAATCGAGCTCGACTGCCTCTTGAGCTGCACGGAGATAAGGTGGAAAGGGGAGGCCCGTGGAGCCCGGGAGCCCGGGAATCAAATCCCTGCTCTGCCACTTCGCAGCGCAGTGCTGTGGCCGCGGGCGTCCCCCGAGCCCAGTCTCTCCCGCAAAAGGAAAAGGGATGGCTGGATCCACCTACCTGGCAGGGCCGCCGGGACGCGCAGCGCAGCGCTCAATACACCACGGATTTTATGGCTACTCAGCACGAGGCTGGTGGCTGTTTCACGTACAACACGCGTGCCACATATTTTTAGAGTAAAAGCATTTATTCCTGGGAGCAGAGATGCGAAACGCAGCCGGGAGACACGGGCCTCCCATGGGTGGGTGCTGGGTCAGAGGGAAATGCCTCATCAAGGCTGGAATTGGTCTGGGTGGACTGACGTACGAAAGGATCGGTAAGGAACTAGGTTCTCTTCCAAGGATGGTGTCCAGGAGGGCGCATATTTTGGGCAATTGGAAGGCTGCCCTGCCCAAGCCGACTCCTGGACGCCGCTGTCCTGCCCTTGCCCAAGGGTCTGGGGTGACCAGCAAGCTCTGGGTGACTGTGGAGGCAAATGCCACAGGAATCACAATGAACCCCAAGACAGGCCTCTCACTTGTTTCCCGTGTTTTTTTTTTTTTTTTTTTTTTTTGTTTTTTTGATAAGGAGTCTCGCTCTATCACCCAGGCTGGAGTGCAGTGGCGCAATTTCGGCTTACTGCAACCTCTGCCTCCCGGTTTCAAGCGAGTCTCTGCCTCAGCCTCCAGTAGCTTGGATTACAGGTGCCCGCTATCATGTCCGGCAAATTTTTGTATTTTTAGTAGAGATGGGATTTCACTATCTTGGCCAAGCTGGTGTTGAACTCCTGGCCTCAGGTGATCCACCCACCTCGGCCTCCCAAAGTGCTGCGATTATAGGCATGAGACACCGCGCCAGGCTTCCCCTGTTCTCGAAGGGTACTGTCCAATACAGTAGCCACCAACCATAAGTGCTATAGAGCAGCTGCAATGTGGCTAGTGCATCTGAGGAAATGCATTCTAAACTTTAATTAATTGAAATTTAAAAATAGATACTAATTCCATAGCTGCAAAACCTTTGAGTATATTTGAAACAATTTGAGGATGTGTACATTTAATGAAATCTAAATACAGATAAAGTTTTTCTGATGAAAATGTAATATTTGAATTGGGCTCTAAGTGTAAACTTCTCATGGGATTCAAAGACAATATGCAAAACAGAGGGCAGAATGTCTCGATAATTTACAGTTGAAATGATATTTTAGATATATTGGGCTAAATGAAATGTATGATTAAAATTAATTTTATCTGTTTCTTTTTACCTTTTTCTAATGTGGCCACCATAGAAAGCTACCTACGTGCCTGCGTTAGATTCCTTTTAGACAGGGTTGGCTTAGACCTTCTCCTGGGCCTTCTTCCCTCTGACCTCCCATTCAGGCCTGGCCCTTTGGCCTTGCTTCAAGGTTTTGTCCGCTCTTTGGAGCTGCCATATGCTGGGTCAGACCAGAACCGGGGGCAGAGGCTAAAGGTGAGACCCACTCCCTCCTGTCCAGGAGCGAGGGGCTGGGGGCGGGGGCTACCCTGGCAGCCAGGAGTTCTGGAGCCAGTGATATACCTGGGACAGTGGTGGTCAGGGTGAGCTTAGGCTGGGGTTGGGGTAATGATTCAGGACAACACCCTGCTCTGAGATATTGTTAACTGGTGAGGAAGAGGAGGAACTCAGGGCTACAAGACACAAACTGAGTTTCTGTAACCACAACTCAAAATCAGGCTTGGTCACAGGACTAAGCGAGGCACCTAATTACTAAGCGAGTGCAGACGAGGACAACAACAAGCCTTCCTTGAGGGTCTCTGAATTTCACTGGTCAAAGAACAGGCAGTCCTCGGTCTGCATTTGTGGCAGGAGTCCCAGCTGGGGCTGGGGAGCCCAGGGAGGACACCACAGAGGGTTCTCACCCTTGCCAAAACCACAACCCCACAGTGGCCTCAGCGCCCAGCCCTGGTTTGGACCTGAGCTACCCCACTTCCTGGTCCCCACTACAGTGTGAACCATGACATACATGTCCCAGTATGGCCATCTCTGCCTCCAGTCCCAATTAGGCAGCCCCAAATATAAGCGACCCAGAGGGCTCTGGCTCAGACCAAAAGCATCTGAAGGGTCCATGTGGGATCCTGGCTATCCACCCTGCCTTGCACCTCATTTCTTCCTGAGCTCCAAGGTTACACAAGTGGCAGGCTGCTCAGGCCAAATTCCGCCTCTGTCCCAATCCTTGATCCACTAACACACAAAACCAGGTCAGAAGCGGTTATGCAGCCCCTGGATACAAACAGCCAGCTTCCTGCACTCACTCACTGGGCTGGCTATGTTTGCCATACAAACAGGACAAAGTCCAGGCCTCCTGACCCCAGGGAATAAAGCCTGCAGCTTTGCTTTGCTACACTTTAAAGCACAGGCTGCTTTCAAGTTAACTAGGCACTCCTTCGCCTTCTCCAGCAAGGCTGAATCCACGGTTCTCTGCTAGGGTAGGTGGGCTCAGCTCCTGGCCCCTTTGCAGGCTTGCCTTAAGTTTTGGGTTTGACAACCAAGGGACTCCTGTGCACTAAAGTTTGGAGACAAACACTTTGAGAGGAGAAAAAGTGTGACCCAAATAGTAGAAAGCATTCTCTGAGACTCAGTTAAGGTTGTTTTAGCTCTGGTTAAACATGCACGTGTGTGCTCACACGCTCACACACACACCGTTGTATCCTAAGCTGAATGCTATCTTTTCAAAAATCTGGCCAGTAGCTCATGCCTCTCATCTCAGCACTTTGGGAGGCCAAGGTGGGAGGATCACTTGAGCCCAGGAGTTTGAAACCCGCCTGAGCAACGTAGTGAGACCCTGTCTCTATAAAAATGTAAAAATCGTTTTCTAAATACGTACTTATGCTTTTGGCTACGGGTTTTTTAATCCCAGCTGGCAGGGCAGGGGAGATGTCATCCAGGGCAGAGGCTGGGAGGCTTTCAGGCCACAGATTTCCACCATCTGCCAAGCTTCCCTGCTCTCCAGGGTCCCGGTTAGGAGCCCCTTATGAGAATGAAGAAGATCCATTTTGCTTTCAATAAGATATCAACGAGGTACTTCTTGGCTTTATTAGATATGGGAATTTCCAATTCAAGTCAGAAGCACCACAACCACTGCCATATTAGAAAGACTAGTACCCGAGAGCCCAGACTGTCACCCGGCTGGAAGCCCCTGGAGGAGGGCTCCCAGGGACCACTGACCTAATCAAGGGCCTCCTCCTTCACACACCACCCTCCACCCCAACCTTTATGCCTTCTTAGAGTCCTTCAGGGAAGGGACCCACCGTCAAGATTGTCCTTTCTGGCACCTAACTCTTCTGTCTGCTAGAAGACAGCAATGAGACTGCCCCTACAATGATGATGCCTATGGTGACCACATCTCAAAGAAGCTGAGATGGATCTCAGCCCTTGATTGTCACTTGGGAGGGAGAACCCAAATCTTAGTAAACAAAGACTTTCTCTCTTGAACCATTCACAGGAATACTGAAGGTAATGAAAATGAAAATGTGTAAACCATCCTTTGGAGCAGAGACTACAAACTCACATGCCCGCCTGGACCAGCACTGGGCAGACGTCCTCCATGTATGAAGTGCAGTGGGGGATGGGAAGGGTGGGGGAGGGGGTAATGGTGGTGGGGGTGAGCCACAGCAGACTTGAGATGACAGCATGCCCCATCCTCCACCCAGAAAACTAGGTATTTTTTATACGTAACCTCCCGAGTTTCAAATATTGTCAATACATACAAAAGGTTATGAAGCCTTATAACTTCTGCCCTAGGCAAATTCCACACTTAAACAAAGCTCCCTCTCCCACCAAATAAGAAAACTTTAACAAGGTGATTACAAAGAAAATAAGAAATAGAAAATGATAGCAGCTTCAAACATACCAGTCTCCCTGTTTTAAAACAAAATCAATAAAATCAGTGAATCACAATTCATTGAGCTCATTCTTGTCTACAAGGAAGCAGCTGGATGGATCTACTGGCAGGTAGTCCTGCAGGATTAAAATGAGGCCCACTGCCAAAAAACAACCCCAAATAACGTCCTGCTCGTCCTCATACCATCCTCATCAGGCAGGGAAGGAATAGGATTAGACTCCCTATTAGGGAGAATAGGTTGAGGCACAGAGCAGGAAGGACCCCTCCTCAATATCACAGAGCCCCTCTGTTGGGTCAGACCAGAACTGGGGGCAGAGGCTAAAGGTGAGACCCATTGCTGTCCAGGGGCAAGGGGCTGGGGGTAGGGGCTACCCTGGCAGCCGGGAGTTCTGGGGCCAGTGATATAGAGCCCCCCAACCAAAACAGGTTTCCCATTGCACCATTTGGCACCATCTTGGAGACAGCTGAAATAACGAATCAAAGTTAGGCAGCACCTTGCAGGGCACTGAGCAAATAGTAGGCACAGTTGTGTGTCTGCTGAGTAAACTGTGCATCATGAATGAAGGGAGCTACTTCCCTCAGCTAGTGCCTCCCCTCCAGGGAAATCCAGGAGCTGCCTTTGCCATTCCGAAGACTCTGGATTTCTCCAAGGCAGGCAAAGAAGACAAGGGAGGTAATGGTGAGTTCCCTCTGCGAGTAAACACATGGATTTCCCGGCTCTAAGGGAACATCATCGATTCTGTCAGACTCACGGACACACAGGAAGGGATTCCAGAACCCCACAGAAACACAGAACCCAGCAGGGCTGTGTCTGCAATGAGCTTAGGCTCGGACCTGAGACCTACAGCAAGTCCATACCCAGTAGTCCAAGCCCCTGGCTTTCCTTCTGTTTGGTGCCTATAGGAATTCCCTAGCATCCTTATACCCAGAGGACTTGGCACAGAAAGTCGATGTCAACATGAGAAAGAAAGAGGCTCTTTGTTCTCCCAGGCATGCATGGCTATTTCTGTCCCCGCCCTGCAGCACACAGACCTTCTTGGCCCTGGCCCGACAAGCCCCCAAGGCAACAGTGTGGTCTTTATTTTGGCTTGCTCTGGGAGCCAAGGTCCAGGGAAGCCTGACCCTCTGTGCTCTGGGGGACCGTGACAGGGAGAAGGCATTGGCTCAGCCAGAATGTCTCAAAGGTACTACAACTGGCATTGAATGGACCAATTCTTTGCTGTCGGAGACTGTTCTGCACATTGTGGGATGCCCACTACATGCCAGGGGTGCCCCCACAGTCACTGTGACCCCCTCAACACACACACGTTTCCAGTGCTGCCTGGAGGGACAAGCTGCCCCTGGTTTAAAGTCACTGGGCTGGTGGCCCCCTCATGCATTTGTGAAACAGAAGCCCCAGAGACTAAGTGACATGTGTAAGGCCACACCTCAGCTCTGATGACTTCTGGCCCAGAATTCTTCCCAGCTGCACTCTCAATGATTGGTGCCCATGCATGTGCCCGGAACACTGCAAACACACCATGGGATGCCACAGCTCTGCAGAGCCTCAAAGCAGAGAGCCATCTGTCTCAGTGGCTCAGAGAAACCGAGCAAGAGAGACAAAATAACCTCCCTGTGATCAGACTCAGCAAATGCTGGGTGGGGAGTAGGTTCCCAGGGGAGACACTGTTTTAGGTCCTGCTTGTCCTAGTAAGTCCCACCGTCTAGCTGGTAACTGTGAGTGTGGCAGGCCTCCAGCAGGCGGGGCTTTCTGTAGTCTCCATGGAGACTTGGGAGCCAGTGAGAGGGAGCCAGCCCCCAGCCTGTAGGTTAAATGAGCCAGGGACAGCCCAAGGGTCCAGCCTTCATCTTGAGTCCCCGGTGGGCTCAGCAGGAGTGTGGACGACTCCATCGCAGGCTTTTGACCCCCTTCCAAGGTCCTCACAGTCTCCATTGGGAAATATGGCTGTTAGTGCCAGCTCCTCCTCAGGTTCCTGGAAGTTTTCTGGAACACAGGAGAAGAAATCACTGAATCAGAAGAGAAACGTTATGAGTGAGTTATCTAGGAAGGAAAAGGAGAAAGTTGGCCCCAGCAAATATCTACTTAAAAACCAAAACAAAATACATATCAAAAACCTTAACAATGTACATACCCTTTGACTCACAAATTCCACTTCTAGGATTTTATCCTAAGAAAATAATTAGGAATAATTAGTGGACCTGCTGGAGCTATCTTGCTACCGGCCTAAGGATGAAACTGACACTGAAGATGGGCCAACAGAGAGAAAGAGCAAGCCTGGGTCCTTGCTGGGGTCCCTGACCCCCTGAATCAACCAACTCTGAAGCTGACTCCACCTCTGGACTGTCTTTTAGGTGAGATAATGATTTCTCTTACTGCTTGTACTAGTGTGAGTCATGGTATCTTTACTTGCAGTTGAAAGTGTCCTGATTCAATGTCCAACAATGGGACTGGTTGAGTGAACTATGGCTCACTCATATAATGGGATTCAGGCATTAAAGATAATACATAAAATTCCACAGATCTAAACACACACACATATACACACACACACACACACACACACACACACACACACACATTGAATAGAAGTAAAATTGGGGAAATCTGAATAAGATCTGTGGATTGTGCCCATGTCAATATCCCGTTTGTTCTATTGCACTACAGTTTTGCAAAATGTTACCATTGGGGGAAACTGAGCAAAGTGTACGCAGGATCTCTCTGTGTGATCTCCTTTTTTGTTTTTTGAGACGGGGTCTCACTGTGTCACTCATGCTGGTCTCGAACTCCTGAGCTCAAGCTATCCTCCTGCCTCGGCCTCACAAAGTGCTGGGATTTCTGTATGATTTCTTGCCACTGCATGTTAATCTAGAATTACCTCAAAAAAGAAAATATGTTATTGACATGTAATTATTGCTGTGGAAGGCAGTTATAGTATGTTATTGATGAAGAAAGAAGATTCCAAAACAGTAAGTACAGTCACGTGCAACATAATGACATTTTGGTCAATTATGAACCTTAATAAGAGAGTGGTCCCATAAGATTGAAACACAGCTGGCCGGGCATGGTGGCTCATGCCTGTAATCCCAGCACTTTGGGAGGCCAAGGCGGGCGGATCACAAGGTCAGGAGATCGAGACCATCCTGGCTAACACAGTGAAACCTTGTCTCTACTAAAAATACAAAAAATTAGCCAGGTGTGGTGGTGGGCGCCTGCAGTTCCAGCTACTTGGGAGGCTGAGGCAGGAGAATGGCATGAACCCAGGAGGCGGAGCTTGCAGTGAGCCGAGATTGCGCCACTGCACTCCAGCCTGGGCAACAGAGCAAGACTCCATTGAAAAAAAAAAAAAAAAAAAAAAAGATTGAAACACAGCTAAAAAATTCCTGTCACCTAGGAACCTTGTAGCTGTCTTGATGTTGCAGTACAAAGCGTTACTCACATGTTTGTGGCAATGCTGGTGGAAACCTACCGCACTGCCAATCATACAAAAGTCTAGCACATACAGTTATATACCGTGGACAATGTAGACAATACTTGATAATAATAAGAAATGACTGTTACTGTTCTCTCTCTCTCCATATATATACATATATATGGGGGGGGAGAGAGAGAGAGAGAGAGAGAAAGAGAGCAATGCCGCTGGAGTGCATTGGCAAAATCTCGGCTCACTGCAACCTCCGCCTCCCAGGTTCAAGCAGTTCTCCTGCCTGAGCCTCCCAAGTAGCTGAAATTACAGGCATATGCCACCATGCCTGGCTAATTTTTGTATTTTTAGTAGAGATGGGGTTTCACCATGCAGGCCAGGCTGGTTTGGAACTCCCGACTTCAGGTGATTCACCAGCCTCAGCCTACTACATGTTTTAACATTATTTTAGAGTGTACTCCCTCTACTTACGTATGTATATATATAAAGATATATATATATACACACACATATAAAGTTTACATATATATAGTTAATTGTAAAACTGCCTCAGGCAGGCCCTTCAAGAAGTATCCAGAAGAAGCCATTATCGTAGGAGGTGACAGCTCCATGTGTGTTATTGTCCCTGAAGACCTTCCAGTGGGACAAGATGTGGAGGCAGAAGACAGTGATACTGATGATCCTGACCTTGTGTGTAGGTGTAGGCTAAGGCACATGTTTATGTCTTAGTTTTTAGCAAAAAAAAAAAAAAAAAAAAAATTAAAATAAGAAAAGCTTATTGAATAAGGATATAAAGAAAGAAAACATTTTTGTACATTTCTGCAATGTTTTGTGTTTTAAGCCAAGTATTACTACAAAAGAGGCAAAAAGCTTTTAGTAATTTAAAAAGGTTTTTTTTTTTTTTTTTGAGACAGTCTCACTATGTTGTGCAGGCTGCAGCCCAATTGCAGGATTACAGCCTTGAACTGTTGGGCCTGAGCGATCCTCCTGCCTTGGCCTCTGGAGTAGCAGGGACTACAGGCACGCACCATCACACCTGGCTAAAAAATCAAAAAGTTTATAAAGTAAAAAAGTTACAGTAAGCTAAGGTTAAGTTATTATTGAAGAAAGAACTATTTTACAATAAATGTAGTGTAGCCTAAGTGTGCTGTGTCTCTATAGTCAACAGTAGTGCACAGTAATATCCTAGGTCTTCCCATTCACTCACCAGTCACTTGCTGACTTAGCCAGAGCAACTTCCAGCCTTGCAAGCTTCATTCATGGTAAGTGCCCTAGGCAGATGTACCATTTTTTGATCTTTTATAGCATATTTTTAGTGCGCGTTTACTATGTTTAGGTATGTTGAGACACACAGCTACTTACCACTGTGTTACAGTTGCCCACAATATTCAGGACCGTAACCTGCTGCACAGGTTTGTAGACTAGGAGCAACAGGCTATGCCATGTAGTATAGGCGTGTAGTAGGTTGTACCATCCAGGTTTGTAAGTACGCTCTATCGTGTTCACACGACAAAATCCCCTAAAGATGTATTTTTCAGAAGGTATATCCCTGTCATTAAGCAACTCATGATTGTATAAATGCATGTGATTATGATATCCTATATTTATCATATAGTATCAATGTGTGTACATAGTCCATAAATGCCATTTGCATTTTAACACATTCACTTCTACATGAGATTTGTACATACCACAGAGAGAGAAATTATCCAAAATTTATGTAAAATGGTTAATGATTCTGTTGCTTCATCTTTTCTCCTTTAGTTTCCAGGTATATCCAAAATGAAGGCAGAGGGGTTGAAGTTAGCATTTTTGCAATTAAACATTTTAAAAATCTGCTGCATTTTGAAGATGATATAGGAGTTTATTAAATTTTAAATAGCACAAGGAGAGATAGGTAAATAGAATGGTGTACCCCAAAATATAACTGTAGTTATCTCTGCATGATGGAATTAGTGAATGGTATTTCACATTTGTTTTCTTTCTTTTTTTTTGTTTATTTTTTTTTGAGTTTTCAAATATGATAGGCAGAATTCTAAGATAGCCCCCAAGATTCTGGCCCCTTAGAAAGCCCTTCCTTGAGTCTGATGGGCTCTGCGAATGTGACAGCTTAGTCACTCTGGGGCGTAGGGTGCCTCTCTGACAAACGCAGTGGCTAGTGACTCCCTTGACTCCTTAAGTTATATGAACTCCCTCCTAGCAGACTGGAGAGGGGGTTCTCCTGCTGGCTGAAGGAGGATCTCTTGTGAGAGGGCTTGTGAGAGCAAGGAATGGCAGGGGCCTCGGAGCTGAGAGCAGTCCCAGCTGACAGCCAGCAAGAAGTCAGGGACCTAATCAGTGCCTTTGAAGCTGCGAAGCTTGCAATTATTTATTTATTTATTTATTTTGAGATGGAGTAGCTGGGATTACAGACATGTGTCACCACGCCTGGCTAACTTTGTATTTTTAGTAGAGATAGGGTTTCACCATATTGGTCAGGCTGGTTTTGAACTCCTGACCTCGGGTCATCTGCCCACCTCGGCCTCCCAAAGTGCTGGGATTACAGGCATGAGCCACCATGCCCGACCTACTTGCGATCATTTCTCATGCGGCAATGAAGACTGACACATCAACTAATGGTTTTCTTTCTTAAACAAGAGACACAATGAAAGTTAATTTTGAATCACCGTTCATTGTTTCTGTAACAAAGCTATACTTCTCAGTGCACTTTGGGACAGGGCTATGTCCATTCAGCAGGCTACACCCTTCCGAGTACTGTAGCCACTCCCATCCACGGCATAACTATCCACAGTTTCAGTTAACCTGCGGTACAGTCCAATAAGATATTTTCAGAGAGATACCTCATTCATGTAACTTTTATTATATATTGTTAAATGTCTTCACTGTGCCTAGTTTATAAATTAAGCTTTATCATAGGTATGTATGTACAGGAAAAAACAGCGTATACGTCGGGCTTAGTGCTACCCATGGTTTTAGGCATCCACAGGTGTCTTAAAGCATCTCATGTGGCAAAGGGGAGAATCAGTGCGCTTTCTATGTCCCTAACATCAGCATTGACATCTAGGGGTGTCTTCCCCTTCCCCTTCTCCCTCACTTCCATTTAGTGGCCTGATGATTCCACCCAGGTGTGGCTCCCGGCTGAGTTTTCTCCCCTCCATTCCCACTGCCCAGGTCGGGCCCAGGTCACCTGTTACCCCTCCTGGGACATGGCAGCCTCCTCCTAGCTGGGCTCTGCCGAGGTGTCGCCCTCTCCTGGAGTCCACCTCTCTAAACACACCCCAATCTCTCCACTCAGCAATCGCTCACGGCACACTACTTCTGAAGGCTGCACATCTGGGACCCTGATTTGGTCCAAACTCTTCCCTTCAGCCTTGGCCCTCACTGGTTTCCTTCTGCACCTTACTCCCGGGGCCTCTCGATGGTGGTCCCTTTTCTGATCATGACATCATGCTGTCACTCCTTAGCTCAGTGCTCCTTTTCTAAATCTTCCTATGAAAATCCCTTCATCCCCCAGTTCAAATGTCACTTGCTCCAGGACACTCCCTGGATCCTCCAGGGAGACTCGCTGTGTTTGGTCCCATGCACCCCAGCATGCACCTGGAGACACCTTTGTTACAATCCTCCCCATACTGTCTTTATTAGGTGGAGACTCCTGGGGAAAGAGCCCAGCCTGATCGAGCGCATGTGCCCACTGCCTGGCATATGGGCACCTCACATTGCTCACCCCCACACCTGGCACATGGCAAGCACTCCATAGATGTTGGTCCACTCTGTCCCTAAGGTCCCCAAGTTCACGTGACCACTCCCATAATTCTGTGCACCTGGCCTTCAGGGTGCAGGAAGTCGGGGAGCACTCACCATGAGCTGGGCTTCTGCAGGCAGCAACATCCTGGTCCTTCCTCCGGCTCCAGGGACCCCAGGAAAAGCAGGCCAGCAGTCCAGGGAGGCCTGGTCTCTCCCAGGCTCCTTCCACTAGGAAGAACACAAAACCTGAGTCAGAGGGTCACATGGTTTCCACTTCACAAGACTGAGAGATTTTGTTTGGCAAATCAAGAGCCTCAACTGTCAACTGCCCTAGTTTCAACTGTCTGATTAAAAACACGAAGTCTGACTTGCAAAAGTGGGTGGGTTTTTGTACTTTAAAAACAAACTTTAAAAATGATTGCTTTACTTTATCTATGTTATCTCATTTAATTCTCACAAAAACCCTATGATGTAGGTACCATGTTGGGGAAACTAAAGCATTGAAAATGACATGAAATTAATTACAATTACATAGCACCAAACAAAATACTCAAAGAGCTGCACATTCCCTCTGATTTTAGTTCAAACTCTTTCTTGGCAGGAATAGATATATGTTTTAGTAATCTATAAAGTCAACAGGAACAAGGTTGTTTATTTGTTTGGTTGGTTTTTTTTTAAAGACTTCAGGCAACCAAAACAAGGAAAATCCTTGTTCATAACCTTTGTTCAGGACCTATTTACTCTCAACCTGCGCCCAAATGTAATGAGACTGTATCCTTAGTTTTTCAACCCAAAAGCAGCTGGATTAGGTACCACAAACTGGGTAAAAGGGCACTGCCAAAAGGCAAGCAACCTAGAATAAAAATTATCATCAGACGGTGAGGAAAGAAATCAGAAAACTTTAAAAAAACAGATGCAACCACTAGCGAAATCTTAGTGACATGAATCCATTTGATGTGAGGATAATAGTGCTGTCCATTGCAAAAGCGGCAAAGAAATCAGTGGGCTATAAGTTATAATTACACTCGTTACCTTTAGTCATTTGTGAGGTTTAATTTTGTTCAGTATGTTTTCATAAAAGTAGGAAAGTGCTTAACATAGTAGAGAACAATTCCTTTGCAAAGTGTTAAAATCTCAAAAGTATTAGTGTTTATTTAAAAGGAAGGGAGGATTCATTCAGTCTTTCTGCATGCCAGGCATGGTATCAGGAAATGGGACTGCGGATGGTGTTTAAACCCACAAGAGAACAAAATCATGTTCACAAGGGAACGAAAAATCATGTGGTAAGAGCTCAGAGAGCAAAGCGATAAAGGGTTCTGGGATTTCGCCAGTGAACTTGCAAATGGGAGCAGGGAAAGTCAAGGAAGCCTTCCTGGAGGAGGAAGTCCAGTTCTGAATGCACAAATGGGATTGGCCAGGTGAGGAGGAGGGAGGAGAAAAGGCTCTTCAGGCTGAGGCAACAGCAATGTGTCTACAAAAAGTTTAGGAGGGACTGGGCGTGGTAGTTCACGCCTGTAATCCTGGCACTTTGGGAGGCCAAAGTGGGTGGATCACTTGAGGTCAGCAGTTCAAGACTAGCCTGGTCAATATGGCGGAACCCCGTCTCTACTAAAAATACAAAAATTAGCTGGGCGTGGTGGCAGGCGCCTGTAGTCCCAGCTACTTGGGAGGTTGAGATGGGAGAATCGCTTGAACTCAGGAGGCGGAGGTTGCAGAGAGTCGAGATCGCACCACTGCCACTCCAGCCTGGGCAACAAAGCAAAACATCATCTAAAAAAAAGAAAAAGCATGCACTCTTTAGGGTACAGAAAATGTGTGTGAATTCCCTTCTTTCCCTAGGAGGCCAGGTCAGCAAAGCGGTTGAAACCAAAATCAGAACAATCACAACCTCAACAAAAAAAAGGGATTGCGCCCTAAGGGAGGAGGGTTAGGGCAGGCGCACCCGCCTAGGCAGGCCAGGCTGGCAGGTGAATGTGACATTGGTAGCATCACAGGTACCAGGTCTCCTTGCTGGGACCCCCCGCCCCCCGACCAACGCCAATACCCCAGGAGACACACAATACAGCCACTCTCTGCATTATCTACTTAAGAGGAAGAGGCTGGAGGGCGTGAAGGGCTGCCCAGCTGGGCAGTGAGAGAAAGCAAAGATCTCCCGGGTTTGCCGGATGCAGCAGCTCCTAATGTGCATGTTTTCATCCTAGAACACGGGAGAGTTCCCGTAAAGCCTTGCGTTCCAGGAGGAAGGAGATCCTGACCCTTTTGCTGATGGCAGCAGTCACGGGGGCTGGGGAAAGACCCTTAAACCCCTTCCACCTTTTAGGAGAATGTGGAGGGAAAAGGTGGCCTCAGCAGACCTGGGGGAGGCAGAGAGACACAGCAGTTGGGTGCACAGCCTTGGTGGGCGGCCAGAAATCACTAGAAAATGTGCTCTTAGTCCCTCTCACCTCCCCACTCTCCAAGTCCCGAGCACCCGTTCCTTGCCCTCTTAATAAAACCAGGGCTTCCAAGAAGCCTCCACCGCGCTGGACATGCCCCTCCGCCCCTCCTAGGGCTCCCGACGCATGTCTAGCTGCGCAGCGCCCTAGAATTTAGCTCCTGATACCGCCAATCTCCTTAGCCCCTATCCACCCCCTTGAAACTTTCCCATCCCAAGGCTTTCCCATTTCCTTCCCTAACCCTCTTTTCCTCTCCCCGCCCTCACCCACCCCCTAACTCCTAGATCTCGGCCCTGCCCGATTCATCCCTTCTGTCTACCCACTCCCTCTGCCTTCTGCTCGGCCTCTCAGCTTTCCCACGCCCCCTAGGCATCTCCCGTGCACTCTGGACCCTTCCGGGACAGACTCGACCCCCTACACAGGGCCTGTTCTCTGCTAGCTGCGCGGCCTGGCTCTAGGCACCTCCCTGCTCTGAGCCTCAGTTTACCTCGGTGCTCAATGAGGGGGACTGGCCAAAGGGGTCCAACTTGGGGGACGTGCCCGAGTTACCGCCCGCCCGCGCCCCGCCGGGCCCCGCGCAGTCTCACCTGGTTGCCCGGCTC